CTATTATAATTACTTTATTCAATATACATCGAAACAGAAAAACATATAGACATAAAATCCATACAAGGTGGAGAAATATATTACATAGTACCTATGTGAAAGTATGACTAAAGAATCATTGAAATAAAGTTGCTTATAGCTTGAAGCTATCCCAAACTGTTAACAAGCTAATAATAATTATTACTTATTATTTTTTTAATATTGCTCCACACTAGGGTTTTCTCCTGTGTCGTAGGTGCATTTACAAACATATCACATACATATCACACCCAGACCCGGAACAACAATCTGCGGATCACACAAAGAGTTGTTCCATCATCGTCATCAATAACAGCCAAAAGACGTCTACTGCATGACAAAGGCCTCCTCGTTAGTCCTCCAAGTCTAACGACAACTTGCATCTACTATTTTTCCGTGCAGGAATCGAATCCGCGACACGTTGCGCGGCAGCCAATCGTGCAGTCAAAGTTAAATTACCTTGACTTCCCGTTGAAATTCATCCCCTAAATTTGTTCAAACAAAAGTAGTCTCTAAACATTGGAAATAAGGTCTATAATGTAGTTAGTGGAGAGCGGTCACCGGTGACCACTTGGGGATGTATGGGAGATATTGAAGCTATTTTACTACTAGCAATAAAGATCTTGTCTCACAGTAGTCTCCTCGCCACATCCACTCCATATGCCTCTGACAGTCCGCGCCGGGTCGGTTGTAGTCGCACACCGCACATATGCCTGTGTTCACCATCGCTGACGGCTGCAACCTAATGCAAACAAATATCACATTTATGAAATTCATCATCCATTATGAAATTTATTATCCATAATATTTCATCCATTTATGGATATAAATGGATACAAGAGGGCGCTTAAAGCTATTCAGGCGAGAACCAAGAAGCCATCTCATACGAAATTTGCTAAGTCGATTGTAGCGCCACCTAAAGCACTTAAACAGGTTCGCGATTTTAAACTTCTACATATTTCAATTTATAAATTGAAGGATGAAGGATTTTTTTACAAGGATCATTAGATTACGTCTACAAACTTCTACTGACTAAAAATCACCGCGTTCCTATAAATAACAGATTTTGACTGATTTCCAACCAGTGTCATCATATTCGAGATACAGGTACTTTAACTTTTGGGCTATTAATATTAAAATTCGTTTTCGCAAACTTCGTTTAAAACCTACTGTAACACTTCTCTGCATCACCCTGTGGTTGGCTGGTAGAGAATGCCATTCGGCATTAAGTCCGCCATTGTATAAATTTGTACAAAAGTGTTAAATAAATAAAATTCTAGGAATAAATTATGATTTTTGTTACATACCTGTTAGTCAAAATAATATTAGGATACATGGCGCCGACATCCAAGTGATAAATCAAAGGATTTTCATCTCTCCTGGGATGATCCTTCATATGTTGCAACTTGGCCTTTATTTCTGCACAGACTTCATCGAAATTCGTCACCAAATCCAATGGGATCCCCTCCTCAACTTCAATGGCGTGTTTCATTGTTTTCTCAGTAGTTTCCATCAGTTTGTCTACCGCTGATGGAACTATTTTAAACTTGCATTTAATATCTGCTCTGAATACGCCTGAAAAATATTTTTACAGAATAAGTTTCTATAAATATTATTTGGGTCGAACGGTCACAATTGAAAGAGTATTGGGTTCGATTACAGGGTTTTTTTAAGGGGGGGAAATCATCGAATGACGATTTTCTCCCCTTAAAAAATACTAACCAGATTCGAGTGCCTCCACGTGTCCCCCTACATAGGTCTCAGTCTCCAATACATGTCCATCGTTAGTCAGTTTGTTTAGCTCCTCAACTTGTTTGTTAGGAAACACTATGTTTGCGTGGAACGCTTGCACCATTAGTAGAGACTCGCAAAGCGTGCCAGATCCCTTGCGAAGTACCTGTGAAGGAATTTGAATTTAATGTAGGGGACAAACGGTTTATATTCCTTTTTTTTACATTCCACCTAGACCGGCCAGTGCCTAAAAATCTGATGATCAACAAGAGAGTCAACTACAAGTAAGAATTACATTTTGTGCGACTTACCTCATCAGGTTCCAAAGGAATGATAGTACAGAGCGCAAATATGAAGGGATGGACATATTTCATGTACAAGTAGTATGTAGCCACTGCGTCTGATACTGAATAGTTTGACAGCACCTATAAAATAAAATAAAGAAATAAATTGTAACTAGACAGCTAGAATCGCAATCAGGGCTTACTCTTGAAACCAATCTCAATGTCAATGTAATTGTAATCCAATAAAAACTCAATAATTATTTAATGTCAAAACTATACAACCCCTATCGTAGCTGTTAAAATAGCATTCAGAGTACGGAATATAAAGCCAAACTCAACACCATTTAGTTCATTCAATATCCACGACGGATGCAATGGGCGCTAGTATTACAGCTCAAGAGTACGAAATTTCACAATACCAATGTCGATCGATCGGAATTGAATTCAAAAGTAAGCCCCCTGGTAACACTGTTTTAATAAAATCGCTGAGTAATCGTATTTCGAATCAAATCCGCGATTTTTGTGCAGCAACCGATTATCCAGCTATTGCGCCGAAAAACACAACGAAAGAAAATATTAACTGTAATGTCTGTGTGTCTGACAAGAAGCAAGACCTATTGCACTGGCCCCAAGTAACTTGGGATGAAGGTAGAAAGAAAGACACGAAATAACTTTGCACACTTGCGCAAAAGTTGCGCATGTAATAGGGTAGATGACTAATTTTTATTTTAATGTCCGTCTGGTAGATTATTTAATAACATTAGATACGTATTTTTTATTTTCTTCCGAAAACGAATAGTTTCGAAGTATATTGATTTGAAATATCGCATGACGTCACTTTTGAGTACGATTTATACTTTATAATGACGTAGCTACCTCCCACTGCTAAACTTTGATTCGTCTTATCTAAGTATTGTTTTCTTATAAGATAAAATAAAAAATACGTGTCTAATATTTATTTATTACCTAACTGACGGATTAATTAGATTTTTAATTTTCATACCTCATCAACATTCTTATTGTTTGGTAAGTATAACATAAGATTTATTACCTGAGGTTGTTCTGCCGCCATCCTGCACATTTCTTCGGGATCTAACTCCACGGGATCATATCTTAACTTTGCTTTAGCCACGGCTTTCAAGCCTTGTGACCCCACTGGCAGGTACGAATCTCTCTTTACCCAACTACAAAAACATAATAAAGTTACCAATCGAATTAGTATTGATCGTAGAACGTGTGATCACAACAGTGACTGCTATGCAAGTAATAGCAATCGATTCTTATTATTCTTAGGTTGAATAAAGTACTGTTCAGTTTTCGTCTTAGTAATAGGATGGAGTCTGAACAAAAATTGTTAAACTTTTAAGTGTGGGAGAGCCATACTTCGGCACTAATGGGCCGGCTCGACCGGAGTGATACCACGGTCTCATAGAAAACCGACGTGAAGCAACGCTTGCGTTGTGTTTCGTCGTGTGAGTGAGGTTACCAGAGGCCAAATTACCCTCCCCTTCCCCAATCTCCCCAATCCCTGAATCTCCAACGATCCTCAAACTCCTAATCCCCAAAAGGCCGGTAACGCACTTGTAACGCCTCTGGGGTTCCAGGTGGCCATGGGCAACGCCGATTGCTTACCATCAGGTGATCCGTCTGCTCGTTTACCGATTTTGCCATAAAAAAAAAACTGGCAAAAAGTGGGTGTCACGTTTGATTACTCTTTTGCGGTAAAAGGTAGATATTTCAATTACCACAAACAATCCATATGCATAGCAGGTCGACAAGCGTATGTTCCATCTCTTGCCGCTATTTTACTAAATCCTATTTCTTGTTTCATATCCAGACCGAGTACCGCCGCGCGCGCTTCCACGAACGGCCAATCGAAGAAGTCACCTAAAAAAATATGCATTTTAATTTATTTTTTTAATAAGCTTCATGCACGTCGTGTAACAGTAGGTGGACTTAATGCCTCTTTAATTATAACAGATGAAATATGTTCATATCATTTATTTGCAAATTAATACTTCTTCATTATATTTACATTACATAACATCACGCCTTTTATCCCCGAAGGGGTAGGCAGAGGTGCACATTATACCACTGTACAATGTAACACCCACTTTTCACTATTTATGTTATGAGTCCCACGTAATAGGGAGTGAGCCTATTGCCATATACCGGGCACAATTCCAGATTCCGTGCTACTACTGAGATTTTTTATTTGATTTAGATTTTACTGGAATCGAACCCGAGACCCCTTGCCCAGCAGTCGCACTTGCGACAAGTCGGCCAACGAGGCAGTCATTATATTTAATTAGTATATATTGTGTGACATGTGTAATATATATAATTATATCTACATGTCAATTTATGTTCAAAACTCACAACAGTGTTAAACTTTTACACCTACTATTGTGTCTCTCTGCATCACCCTAAGGTTGACTGTTAGAGAATGCCACTAGGCATTAAGTCCGCCATTGTATACCATTGCAAGAAGTGTTTAAATATTTATTTATGAATCTTACCATTGTAAGTTACGAAGATATGTGGTTTGACATCCATTATGTGATCGAAGAACTTTTGGATGAGAGCCAACTCATTTTCTTCATTGAATACTATAAATTGCCTAAAAAATAAATAACAATGGTGGTCAAATATTTATTAAAGTAGCATATCTATTAAGGTTCTATTAGATTATTCTATTAGACGAATAACTTTCATGTCTAATGGTACTCAATTTTTAGTCGCGCTTATGTATTGCAAAGTGTGGGAGAGCCATGCTTCGGCACGAATGGGCCGGCTCGACCGGAGTGATACCACGGCCTCACAGAAAACCGACGTGAAACAACGCTTGCGTTGTGTTTCGTCGTGTTAGTGAGGTTACCGGAGGCCCAATTACCCCCCTCCCTAGTCCCCGTCTCCCGAATCCCCGAATCCTCCACAATCCTCAAATTCCCAATTCCCAAAAGGCCGGTAACGCACTTGTCTTGGTCTTTCGAGTGTCCATGGGCGGCGCCGATTGCTTACCATCAGGTGATCCGTCTGCTCGTTTACCGGCTTATGCCATAAAAAAAAAAACTTCTGTTCAGTTCTGTCACTACAAATTGTTTTTGTATTTGTAAAATGACAGAGAAGGCACGATATTTAAGCACAACTTAAAATTGAGTAACCTTTCAGTATTCTATTTGTTAGAGTAGTACCTTATTTGTTTGAATGCACTAATCTGTGGATTTATTTGTGTTGGATCACGCTACGATCAATAGGAGCCGAGCAGAGCGGGTAGCTAGTTATAATAATAATTAATCAAAACTCTTTTTTTTTTACGGGGGAAAATCATCGAATGAGTGCTCCCGCCTGGGTGAGGCGGGAGGGAGTGTCAGACTCTTACTGACTAAAAACCACCCCGTTCCTTCTCCTGCACGTCGAGCCGGAGCCCCGGTTACCCGTTAGGTTCTCCGCGACTCCGAATCGGCATCGGCCCTATTGGGCCCCATCTGTGGTGGTCTGATGGCTCTTTGAGGCGCGCGCGGAACGCGACGCGCCGTACGCTCGGGTCTGTTTCTGGTCGGACGGGGAGCCACCCATGCTCGCCGTCCGCAGGCCCGCGCTTACGGTGGCCGGAGATCGTCCCGCGATCCCCGACGCCCGGTGTGTCCTTCGCGATGGCTGGGTTGCGAGGAGGCAGCGCTTCGCTGCCTCACGCGTCCCGCCTCCTCCTTAGCTAGCATGACTGCTTCGCAAAAGGAGGAGACGGCATCCCAGTCCCCCTCGCTCCGTATCATGGCCTGCACTAGGCCCGGACGCGAGAGGTCGCCATCGCCGATCACTTCCCTGAGGACACGGCGGTGCTCAGCCCACGCAGGGCATTCCGCGACAGTGTGTTCCACCGTGTCCTCAGGGCGGTCCTCGCAGTGATCAGGGCGGTCCTCGCAGTAATCAAAACTCTTTAGCTTTATTGTAACACAGTAATTCACACTCACCCCTCAAACTCCGGTTTAGGAGTATACTCAAAATCTTCAACATCTACTGAAATGATCTCTCTATTAGTAATCAAATATCCTTGACCATCGATCATGTACGATATCATCATAATCTGATCTGTCTGGGAATCCGGAAACTTCAATGGCAGTTTTGTTGTTTCTATGTCAAAAGCCAAAACTATTGGATCTGGTCTCTCTATAATGTCATCCCGTTTTGTGAATATTGGTATTTCTGTCCCTCGGCTCTTGACCGTATACCAGGTACCGCAAAAGATTTGCATGTCTATTGATACTCTGACATGGTATGGGACGTCGTGTTCTCTGGAAATAGTAAAAAATATATATGTATATAATTATATATTTTTATAACAGTAAAAATATTTAAGAAAAGCATACATATTTAAATATAGGCAACACACTTGTATTGCCACAGGAGCAGAGCATGAACATGATGCTGGTGTCGATGGGTGGTGCCGATTGCTTACCATCTCATTTCCCAAAATTTGACATAATTGATTTTGTAACTAAAATAATGTTTGGTGTACCTGATATCTAGAATGTTCTCCATATGATCAGTAGTTTTCTTAGCATGTTCAATGGCCGCCGCACTAGTCAAAGCATTCGTTAACATCTCGGCATAAATCTGATCTTTCTTTTCTCTTTCTTTATTTTTATTCACAGCTGTTAATATTTCTCTTCGAACTTTCATCATTTCGTTTTGTGACATGAATGAAAGTTTTATGTAGCGCTGCTTCAAGCCAGATAAGTGGTTTAACTGGAAAAATACAACATAATGGAAGAAAAGAACATTTTGTAATATGTAGTTGGAACAAAATAGAGACGGCAACGGTTGGAACACATGCTGGTTAAAATTAGTATGTACTTATTATATTACATTCTAAGCGCCTAAAATCATGTCTTATAGGTCAAGTCTCCAAGCAGGCACCGGTGACTGCTCTCCACTTACACCATTATAGAACCTTATTTCCGATGTTTAGAGACCACTTTTATATGAACAAATATTGTGGATTTTTCATAATCGCGGATACACAAGTTAAAGTAGGTATTACTTCAAATAAGTTAATCTTTACCAGATCCAAATCTTCTTTCTCAATAACAGTTATTTTGTGTACAGTTCCTGTAAATCTCTTAGAAAGGAATTGTATGACTTCCTGCTCACACTCCTTGCGGGCCAGGATTAAGAAGTACGGCTGGAAGGTCAGAGATATCTTGAAACGAGACCCATCCATTTCTATGAAGTAGTAATCCATTGCAGCTACTAATCTTTTATCCTCATCTAGAATTTCAGCCTGAAAAAGAGTTATTTTTCTATATCATTTTGTAGTAATATTTTGAAGAATGTTAATGAAATTTTATAGACCATTAATTTCACAGTGCTCTTGCTTATTTATGATAAAAAACAATACTATATTAGATTTACTGTAGCTAAACAAATCAGTGGTGTACTTACTGTATGCATGTTAATCAAATAGCCAGTGCGCTCTTTAACATCACGAACTCTGTCGAAACCGTACTTCGAGTCGATCCTGTCATTCTCCAGAGCCACACGGATGCGAGACTCCGAAGATTCCTCTCTTTAATTAAAAACAAAAACGTAAAAGTAACCTGCAAGTTGAATCTAAGGTATTTTATCTATTTATAAATACCTGGGTCCATTGGACGAACCAGCATCCTTTCTATTGGATTCCTCCCTGTCTGCTCTATACTTTCCCGTATTTTGTAAAACCATGATTTTGTTAATATTTTATGAAATAAATAAACATCCACCTTAGGTCAAATACATCATTGACATTTTTAAGATCTGCTGAAACTGTCATAATTTCGCGCCATTTACAAAACTTTTCGACCACAGATTTAAACTGTCAAACACCAAGCGGTCACCGGTGACCGCAACCTATTGTTCTATAATTGTGTCTACAAAACCGGTACTCGACGAGTTAAATAACTTCATATGATGTTCACGTTTTACTTTTTTTTAATATTTGACGTTTAACTACTTCTATAAAATATCCCAATAATAGAACAAGTTTAATTTAGAGAGTTCGATTGTTATTACAATAAACAAATGTAAATTAACCCATTAAAATAGAATTTAAAGAATCGTATTTAAACAAAAAAACGTAAATTCGGAGAGTACTACACTACAACACTATCAAATTCTAACGGTCAAACGAAAGCTGTCAGAATCAGACAGAAACTCAAAATGTCAACAATCTGCCTGTAAATGTGTGATTGACATAAAATAAAATACCACCATCGTTTCAATTCGTTTCCTATTCCTAGCTAGTCTAGCTGCTTAAATGTGTAATGCCTTGTGGTTGTGCCTTTGTGTCTTTGATTATTGATATAAAAAACATTTACAATGGATAGGTCTTACGATATTAGCTTTAGCAGCTATGAAGATCTTTCCACAAATTCGAATAGAAAAGGGGACATCAGCATCAGCGAACAACTTGCCGGTTTCGAAAGGTTACGAGTGTCTGCTTTGACAAAAGCTGCTGAAATGAGTCCTCTAGTAAAAGAAGTAACCATTGGACCAAGGAGTCCACAAAAAAAGGATGTAAAATTAGTAAAAGAACCAGAGAAAATAACTAAAGAGGAAAATTATGGTGAAGATTTGATAGAGGACAAGTTACGCGAAGACCTTAGGTACACACTCATTATGAAAAAATATGAAAACGAGTTACGAGAAGCGTCTTCAGAAAACTTCAATATTTTGCTTGAAAATATGAAAAAGAAACGAGTTTATTTTTTGACAAATATTTCTGCACAACAACGTGAAGAACTTAAGAGGCAGGCATTAGAACGAAAAGCACGTAAAATTGAAATGCTCAAGAAGTTACAGGATAATGACAACCAAAATGTGTTAAATAAAGCTCGTTTAGATGAACAAAATAGTCAAATAATCAACACACAAACAATTGAAAACATGAACAGAATAATTGAAGAACAAAACAGGGCCACTGCTAGGTCTGCTGCATTAAGTGAGAACTTCACTAAAATATGTGAATGCTACAAAGAAATATCAAACATCTTGAACATTGAACCATTAGCTCAGAGCATCTGTGACAAGTTCTCCACTGCAACAAAAACTGTAGTGGATAATATTTATAATATCATACAAATATGCAAAACTAATGGAGTATCTGATAAGGATGTGAAGCAAGCTGAGATTCTCTACATGAACATAGAAAACATCAAAGGGAAAATATTGGGAGAAATCGAAATAATGAAACAACAAGAGGCCTTGAAAAAACAAAAGGAAGAAGAAGAACTGTTACGGAAAAAAGAACAAGAGGAGAAGGAGCTACAAACCCGTAAAGCAGCAGAAATGGCAGCAGCAGCTGAAGCTGAAAGACTCAAAAGGGAACAACCTAAAAAGACAAAACCATTATTTTATTCTGCTAAAAATTATGAATATTATGAGAAACTTAGAAATGAACTGGAACAGTATGAAGCTCAATATAAAGACTTATTACAGGATGTCAATTACAAGAAATTTAGATTTGACTGTCAAAAGGCAGTAAACACTCCAGTGAATGCATTATCATCAGTCAGTGCAGTGCATATGAGGGACAAGTATGACAAACTTTCAAAGTTACTGAAAGGAGAAAGAGTGCAAGTATTGGATACTCACATAACGGCAACACAGCATCCACAGGGCTTGTTTTATTGCACAGCATTGCTAGCAAAGAAAATTGTGAGGCAAGGAGATCTCCTAGTATCAAGTAGTACAGAAGCTGCCTACCCATTAGCTGCTGTTACTGTTGCTTTGTGGTCTCAATTCCCACAATTTGGTAGACTAGTTGAAGCAAACTTTCATAGATATTGCCCTTACTTAGTACCTATGTACTTGCCCCAGAAAGAAGGCCAGACCGTCCAAGAGTTCTACTTATCAAGAGGTTACACATACACTGACGGAGTTGTTGAGAAACAAGACAAATTCCTCAAGAGAATGTCGGGAATTTTCAGGTTACGTTGTGCTATATGGATTGCCACAATGCCCAAGTTCATTAATATGCCAAATCCTAATGGTCTTAGATACGGATGGCAATGGCTTGCATCCTTTTTGAATTTAAAACCTGAACCAGATATTTCTGCTACATTAGTGCATGATTTCTTTATTATGTGTGGTTCACAATGTGATAAACATTATGGTAGACAATTTAGAAAAATATTGCAACTTACAAATAATCAGTATCTAAAGGTACTGGAGAATATTGATGAAGGAGGACCCAAGACAAGGTTGGAGGTGTACTTGCAGACTGTCATACAGTCTAATGTGCCGGCACAACCGGAATCCACCAAAATAAATTGGTGATATGGATTATTAGATTATAAGTTATTTTTGTAATGAATTAGTGCTACTTAAACAGTTGTATGGATATTGAATGTATTTTAAGCATAATAATTAATTAAATAGAACTAATTTTGCTTATGATTATGCCTTCAAGTGATATAATGTACAAAAAGTAATCATGTTTGTAATAAATGATTCTTGACTGTATCATTTCAATTCCCAAAATATATTTTTCACTACCCACATTTTCATTTATATCTTTTCTATAATTTTTATTATTACTTTCGTGACACATGCTAAATTTATTATGTTTTTATTCTGAATAAAAAGGTGTTACTTCGTTAATTTCGGAAAATTTTCTTTCTTTTTCTTAACCCTGATTGACTCCTACCTACCTAGGTGCCTAATAGTAACTTAGTAAGATATTAATCTGTGTTAGTAAGCAATCTGCATCACACTCAAGTCTCAGTATTGTTGTATAGTCTATGCACTCAAACTAACGTGGTGTCTCAGTCTCTACCACCTGCTAGGCTAGCAGCCTAGTTAGCAAAGGAACATGCACAGTTTATAAGTTCTTTATACCTGGTCCAGAGAGTTTACTGTATTTGTAAATATATTATGAATGCCTCTTGTTAAATTAGTACATTCTACAAGTAAGTATAGCTGTCTAGCTTGAGACAGATGTTCGAAACATTTTAACATATCACCTTTATTAAAGGCGATCTAGAATATAATTCACGTCCTTGTTTATCAAGTGATCAGTTGCAATCTTAACTACCGAATAAAAGGAATCAGTTTCGATATTCGGATCGGAGAATATTTTATGGTTTGTATGGGTATGTGCGTTTACGTTTACAAACATATCTGCTTAAATCACACCCCAAAATGTAGGATAACATTTTATGAATCTTAATTTATTAAAATATGGTTCGTATCCCATGTAAAATACAAGCCTCGTTCCCGGGGTTGCGGAAAACCGCAAGGGTTGCTTGGTTATCGCGGGCCTCCATCTCGAAGCAGGAATTGGAACAGAGAGATTCTTAGTCAGTGGGGAAAATCATGAATTTCGTCCCTTAAAAAGTAGGTTCGTCGCTTCTTATAATATATGCATATTTCAAATTTTTTATATTGGAAAAACCTTTTATTGACAGACAGACTTTTACTGTATAACTTATTTGAGGCAAAAAGGTAAGTATCCAAGTTTAAAATTATTTTTAATTTTGACAAATATGACAACCCTGCAAAAACTAACCTATATGATGCGTTTGATGTTGTTGTGTCAATAAAGTGAATTTTTAGTGAAAAATAAATAGTTTAGATTTACTACAATGCCGCCGCCACCACCGCCAGGACAAATGGGAACTGGGACCATGCCACCACCACCCATGGGGCCGCCTGGGGCTATACCGCCGCCGGTTACTTCATCTAGCGGTCCTCCAGCAGTTCCGCCTGCGATGCCTCCTACGATGCCTCCTGCTATGCCTCCTACAATGCCACCTGGTATGGGGCCGCCACCAGGTATGATGGGAATGGGTCCTCCTCCTCCTGGGATGGGACCACCGCCTCCACCAGGAATGGGACCTCCTCCGGGTATGGGAATGGGGCCACCTATGGGACCTCCCGGTATGGGACCACCAAGAATGCCTCCCAACATGATGCGTGGACCTAACATGAAAGGTAACTTTGGGAACCAAGGAATGGACATGGGTCCACCTGGGATGGGTCCACCGCCAAATATGCCTCCTATGGGTTGGGAGGGCCAGGGACCTCCAGGTTGGGGAAGACAGGATGGTCCACCAGGTTGGGATGATCATGGAGAGGAAGGAGATGAAGATGAAGTTGAGGGAGATGAATCTAGTGGCATGCAAGGACCTCCATCAAGTTTGCCATCTCTATTGACCATGAAGATTGATACTCCTGAAGAGTTCAGGAACAAGCCAGTTGGTGTTGGTGGTGTTGTGCTTCCTAAAGCATTAGAGGAAGCTCTAGCTTACAAGGACCAGAGACAGGCTGCTCTGGGGGATGAAACAGATGTACCAAAAGGTATGTAGCATGTAGTTATGGATTCTTTAATATTTCTAACATTAAACATAAGTTAATATGCAAGCTTGTTTCATTGTTAACAAAAAAAGCAAATAAAATTGATAACAAAAAATGATGCGTAAAAGTTAATTCATCTTTTTAAACTGTCAAACACCAAGCGGTCACCGGTGACCGCAACCTATTGTTCTATAATTGTGTTTATAATGATGGTACTCAACGAGTTAAATAACATTAAGTTACCAATAACAGTAGTAATTCACATTACATTACAAAACTGACCTATAAAATAGAAATGAAGTGCAACAATTAGTCACAATGTTTAAAATAAAAGTTAACTTATTATTATCCTTGTAACAAAGGGATCTCTTTTAATGCAGAAACTGAAGAAGAACCAGAAGCTCCCCCAGCCCCAGTGATCAGTACAGAGTATGATGCAGAGGAGGATGAAGGAGACTCGGATGATGATAACATTCCGGATGCACCACAGCCACCTATCATCTCTAAAGGAGAGGTATGTTAATTTTACTTATCATTATATTTTTTTCAAGATATCCTCCACTAAATGTAATCCTACTTTAATGCCTGGATAAAACAATACTGCGAGTAATCCATTTTAAATGTTACTTATAATTTATAACATAACTAACTGAAATGGGAATATTTGCACCTCTGCCTGACTCTTGAATCTTGATCATGATGATGTTTTGTTCATGTAATCCCAACTTTTTTGTGAGTATCTGTTATTTAATTTTTTATAATCTTTGTTTTGTGTGCTAATTGTCAAATAAATGGTTTTTATTTCTTTCCTTCAACTTGTCGATTTTAAATAATATCGAGTAGGTAATGATTTCTATATTTAAAATCAAACATGTATAATGCAAATACACAGTAATTGTTTTGTACAAAGTGTAAATGGAACACTCCTCACTGACAATATGAAATTGTTTTATTACAATTTTAATTGTTTTTGTTTTCGTGTTATTCATGAAACATCAGCCTTGAACAGTTAATTACTACATAAAATAAATGTTTAATTCCTTACTTTTATGAAGTTAAAATTTGTTTTTTGCCATCACCTGTTTTTGGAAGTTTTCCCATAACTCCCTGTATTTACACAATTAAAAAAAAGGTGGAGGTAATATGTTGAAATTTTATATTAATTTTGTTATTATTTTGTAGGGCACAGCAAACAAAGCTAATAAAAATAAGAGAAAGAAGAAAAAGAAGAAGGCAGCCAGACAGAAGAGGCGAGAGGAATCAAAGAAGAAAGATGATGACACCACTGCATCAAGCCAGGATGATGGCAAGAAGTCCAGTGATAAGGAAAATGAAAAAGAGGTGGAAATTGAGTGAGTTGAGCAATTTATTTATATTTATTTAATTATATTGATTTTTAAAGTACATATAATTGTGTCTTGTTAGGTGGTTAGATAGACTTGTGATTTGTTACTTCACTACCCAGTAGCTAGGTAATGACCTCCTTCCCACTAAAAAGTATATTATAGAATTAAAGTATATTTCCGTGGGATTGAGAAGTTCTGCCGCAGTAAAGCCTTGTTATTCACCTTAATAGTTTTAAAAAAATCTTCCAATAAAAACACCTTTGCCCCATAGAGATTATCATCATACTCTTAACTAATTTTACCGATTGTATAACCATATGCATCAATATAATAGCTAGATAACCTCTTATGACCAAATAAACAGATAATTTATTAAAAAACACTTTCAACAGATATGTGCAAGAAAACATTCAGTTCCATGAATTGGAGCCTATGTACCGCCAGTTCCATCGCATTCTCGAAGCGTTCAAGATCACGGAAAAGAAGGATGATGCTCTCAAAGAGGAAGACAAGGATGCTCCCAAACCTTCCAAGCCTCAGGAGAAGGTGCAGGACCAGTTTGCTGCTGATGAAGAGGCAGTGGAGGTAAGATATTATTAGTTTAAAAGTAGGTAGCTATGTGAGTTGTGTATAAAACATATTATTTACTAGCTGTTGCCAGCGACTTAGTTCGTGTAAAATAGTGATAAAATAGTGATTCACAGCTGCTCCCCCGTAGATGATAGCGTGATAATATGTAGCCTATATGTTGACCAGACCTGTTAATAATTTACATGCAAAATTTAAAGTTAATCCATGTATTACTTTTTGAGTTTAGCCCGGACATACATATAGACAAACAGACAAAAATTCTATAAACCATATTTTTAGCTTCAGTGAGTAGATCACACCCCAAGCATTCTTTAAAAAAAAAATTCAATGTACAGTTTGCAGTTTCCTATGATTTAATTATATGTATAGATTCTTTATATTTATTTGCTACTAGCTTTTACCCGCAGCTTTGCCCGCGTATTCTTGTTTCATACCATGGGAGCATTTAATCGGGACAAAAAGTATCTTATTATCTAAGTCAGCCCATACCGTAGTTTCAGCGTGATTGATGGATAAACATCTAAACAAAGATTTACAATACAATATTAGTGTGATGTGACTTATTATACATTTGTGACATAACATTTTTTTTTGTTTTTGCCATGTTACACACAGCCTCTTAGTTTTACTGTCGAAGGACTGCAGGATGAGATTCCTACGGGAATATATAGTACTTATGTACCTCCAATTTATTTATACATATATGTATTTTCCTGTATACTGTCTGTGTGTTGTGCATAAATAAATATATTTTAAAATGGTAAAAAAATCTTCCATTCCTTATCTTATATTATTTCCAGAAAAATGCTGCGGATGAAAAGGAAAGGCTCTCAAAACGTAAATTAAAGAAGTTGTCGCGGTTGTCTGTGGCCGAACTCAAGCAGTTGGTGTCTAGGCCTGATGTGGTTGAGATGTATGACGTCACAGCTCGTGACCCCAAGCTACTGGTGCAGTTGAAGGCGCACAGGAACACTGTGCAAGTACCACGGCATTGGTGTTATAAGAGAAAGGTATGTTTTTGACGTTTTTTTTTTTAGTAAAATAAAGAATGTAACGATTATTATATTTAAAAACTTTTTTTTTACAGTACCTGCAAGGTAAGAGGGGTATAGAAAAACCTCCTTTCGATCTTCCGGACTTTATCAAGAAAACTGGTATCATGGAAATGAGGGCCTCCCTGCAAGATAAGGAAGAAACAAAAACCCTCAAAGCCAAAATGAGGGAGAGGACCAGGCCTAAACTTGGCAAAATTGATATTGACTACCAAAAACTTCACGATGCATTCTTCAAGTAAGTTAAAACTTTATAGCTAAGGATTTAAGGTTCTCATTACATTGATTTTTAAACTAAATGTAGTTAGTAACTTTGGTTGACAGTTCAGCAAGTCTTATACATCTTCTCATCTTTTAAGTGTGGGAGAGCCATGCTTCGGCACGAATGGGCCGGCTCGACCGGAGTGATACCACGGCCTCACAGAAAACCGACGTGAAACAACGCTTGCGTTGTGTTTCGTCGTGTGAGTGAGGTTACCGGAGGCCCAATTACCTTCCCCTTCCTCAATCTCCCCAATCCCTGAATCCCCAACGAACCTCAAACTCCTAATCCCCAAAAAGCCGGTGACGCACTTGTAACGCCTCTGGTGTTCCAGGTGTCCATGGGCGACGCCGATTGCTTACCATCAGGTGATCCGTCTGCTCGTTTACCGGCTTATGCCATAAAAAAAAAAAAAAAAAATACATCTTACTGCATTTTGTTCGAAATGTGATCTTAAAAGCAAGTTAATAGAACTGCGTTATTTCTGATCATGTTAGACCAGTTTAAATACTGGATTGTGCATTTTTTCTTTAGCTGAAGACTTCAAGTTGGAATGATAAGGAATATAGAGAGAATCATAGAGATGCTGGTAAGTGTGTGTGTTTTAAAAATTTTTAGGTTTGTTTTCGTCTGAACTTCAAATGAATTGGAATAGTTTTGCAATTAGTCAATAAAGGAGTAAGGAGTATTTATTTAACGACTCTAATATTATCTTACTCGTTGATTACAAGTTCTAGTCTAGCACAATGTCTCCAATTTAAGTACGAAGTGACGTGAAGTATAATTAGTATTTTCTATCTTGACATTTTGTAAGTAGGTACAAAACTTTTAATCCGGTAAACGAGCAGACGGATCACCTGATGGTAAGCAATGGGCGTCGCCCCCATGGGCACTATAGGCGTTACAAGTGCGTTACCAGCCTTTTGGAGATTAGGAGTTTGAGGATCGTTGGGGATTCAAGTATTGGGGAGATTGGGGAAGGGGAGGGTAATTGGGCCACTGGTAACCTCACTCACACGACGAAACACAACGCAAGCGTTGTTTCACGTCGGTTTTCTGTTAGGCCGTGGTATCACTCCGGTCGAGCCGGCCCATTCGTGCCGAAGAATTTGGCTCTCCCACACTTAAATTGGACTAAGTTCAAAGTCAGTTGCTATAACAACGCTTACCTGTATTATTTGCCAGGGTGTATTGAGCAACGTACGTTGTGCTCTCCTAATGAACCCGCCTAGCGTAGTCGCTGGACCGGCCTTTGGGGGCGGCATCATATCCTTGTCCAGTTTACCTATTTAAAAGACAACTTTTTTGATATACACTTTTTTGATATAAATGACACTTTTATATAAATGACACTTTTTTGATATAAACTATTTTTTTTAATATAGATGGCAAACTAAACCTCGGATGACAATCCACGGCGACTTGTACTACGAAGGCAAGGAGTTTGAGACCAGACTGCGTGAGAAGAAGCCCGGTGACCTCTCCGAGGAACTGAGAACTGCACTCGGCATGCCTGTCGGACCGGGCTCACATAAGGTCGGTACTAGAATTAGCAAACCTATACTATGTCTATCACATAATTTCTGTGATTCGCTTAATAGAATGTTAATATATTTTGTATGGCGAATGAGGCGGGAAGAGGGTGTTAAACTCTTACCGTCTTATTACAAAACCCGACCTATTTTTAGTATCAGGATTAATGCTAGGTTTAAACCATGACTAAATAAAACGTTATTATAAAACAAAGTTTATCACTAGTTCCTGAACTATCTATGGTACTAAAGATATTTGAGGTTATCTCATTAGCTGTTAGAAATATTTACGTGTATTTTCTATCTTAAAATTGTAAAATGGATATTAGAATGATTGATGTTATGGATTTGGAAGATTTGTACATGTTAGAGACGTCTCGGCGATCGTACAGACATCGCCATCGTGTGATTTCCTTTGAATTACTGACTTCAATCATCCCATTCCAATTACTAGGTACTTTACGTCGAGGCTGCGACCACTGCAGGCCTTATAGCCGCCCTTAAGTTGCATTTATTTTAAAACTCATACTAATTTTTAACTAAAATCGACATCTTGAATTAAATAAATATCATGAATCAATATAAATTGTCGTTACAGGTGCCCCCACCATGGCTAATTGCCCAGCAGCGTTACGGCCCGCCCCCGTCCTACCCCAACCTCAAGATCCCCGGCCTCAACGCACCTATACCTGAGGGTTGTGCGTTTGGATACCACGCCGGTGGTTGGGGCAAACCACCTGTAGATGAGACTGGTAAACCGCTGTACGGAGATGTATTTGGACACCAGAGTAGCGGACAAGATGTAAGTCGAAATTCAAACTTTGATATTCTGTCATAATTAAACGAACATTATTTATTACAGGAAATATTATTATGATATTTTAAAAAAAAAAACGTTGCCCCACACTAGGATTATCTCCTGTGTCGTGGGTGCGTTTACAAACATACAAGTTGACATACACATGACACCCAGACCCGAAACAACAATTTGTGGATTACACAAAGAGTTGTTCCGTGCGGGAATCGAACCCACGACACATTGCACGGCAGCCAGTTATAATAGTCATAACAGTCATAAAAAATAAAAAATAGAATTTGGAGAATGATATATGTGTCTGATTATTATTTACTGAATATTTTCATGTGAGACTTAAGGCGTCGTCCTATTAGGTTAGCATCGTACGAATGAATAATGCGATTTCGTCGCACGATGAGATTAACTAGAAATTTCGTAAGAGTGTCCTAATTGAAGCTTGCAAATCATCGCGCGAGCACAGAGTTTAATCTCCTCGTACGAACCAGCCAAATAGGACGACGCTTTGGAGTACTTGCTGTATGCAATAATATAAACATTTGTCAATCCCTTTCGTTGACGTTCGTCACAATTTTAAAGAAAAAATAATAAATAAATAATATGTTTTGTTACAGGATGTGGAAGACCTAGATATAGATAGAACGATGTGGGGAGAACTGGAGTCTGAATCTGAAGAAGAATCAGAAGAAGGTATGATTTATATATTAACAATACAGGTTTTAGTGATGTCTCTTGATCAATAAATTCTTCTCCACTCGAATCGACATTTGGAACGAGCGCCTAGCTTCACTGACGGACAGACTGACAGACTATTATTTATTTCATATTTGTTGACGTTCCAAAAGTACCAAATTATGGTTTAATTGAAATAAATGCTTTTGAGTTTGAGTTTCGAGTTTAAACATTTAGAAAATGTTTTTATTCACCTAAAGTATTCGAGAAAATCCCTGCAAGTTTCCATTGAATTTGGTAGTCCTACGACAAACGTAACGCAACGAACTAAAGACTAGTATTTGTTGCTATTAGGCTTTAGAAAGTAATAGCGCTTATTTGCGTTCCATAGTCTCTACCTACCCCCAAGGGAGGGGCGTGAGGTTGTGTATGTATGTGTATAGCGCTTATTAAAAAACGCAAAAAGTAAAACATTTGAAATTATGACATATGACATTACTATTACATCCTTTTTATAGGCACGGTAATAAACGTAATTTATATTTGTTTGAGCAGAGGAATCCGACGAAGGAGAGAAGCCTGGCGAGGGTGACATGGCGGCGGGAGTGGCGACCCCTGGCGAAGGTCTGGTCACTCCGCTTGGCATCAGCTCCGTGCCACCCGGCATGGAGACTCCTGACACTATTGAGCTTAGGAAGAAGAAGGTTGAAAGTGATATGGAAGGGTAAGGAATATTGGTTCATAATTTTTACGACTAGATATAATATAATTAACATTAGAAAGAAAGAAAGAAAAATTGTTTATTTGCACACCGTCACAAAGTACAACAACACAAATTACATAGCCAGATTTGTTTTAAGTAACATTTAATATATAAAGTGATGGGGTGAACCTATTACTTGTCTTGGCTTATACTATTTGAACTCCGTATCAATTTTTTTTTTGAGTCTAATTTCCAACAAAGCCTTTTCTGTCAAAGATTGAATCTGTACTTGTAATAGGGTAGGTAGATGCCTAATTTTTATTTTAATCTCCGTCTGGTAGATTATTTTAAATCATTAGACACGTATTTTTTATTTTCTTACACAAACGAATACTTTCGACGATATATTGATTTGAAATGTCGGGTGACGTCACTTCTATGTACATTTTATACGTAGAAATGACGTATTAGCCCCCACTCCTAAACTTTGATTCGTTTTATCTAAGTATTGTTTTATTATACGACAAAATAAAAAAATACGTGTCTAATATTTTTTCATTACCTAACTTACTTAATTAGAATTGTAATTTTCATACCCTGTGAACATCCCAATTTGAGTGTCTAACTTGCAATAGCTAGTGTACCTAAGCTCCAAAGCTACCAGCAACATCTATCGGTAATAATGCATGTAGACATAAATTAATAAATGTAATTTATTTCAGTGGTGACACGCCAGCTCTGTACCAAGTGTTGCCAGAGCGGCGCGTCGGTCTGACTCCGGGCATGATGGCCTCCACACACGTGTACGACATCAGCGCGGCCAACCCGGGTGAGATACCTAGTATTAAATATGATAAAATGTGCAATTGGGTACTTTACTTGCTAACTAGTCAACTTTAATACTGTTTTCGAACAATAAAAACCGAGAGGTTTCTATGAGTTTTGTACGAAATTGTGTATTGTGACGTCACGTTTTTTTAGAGTCATACAGTGTACTTATTTCTTAAAAATTTGCTGGAAAAATACTAAAATTAAAGTTGGTCATAAAAGCAATAAATGAAAGTGTGATTATTTTTTAATATTTTATTGTATTGAACAGTCGAAATAATTTATTTTTGATTAAGGAAAATATCCAAGTCAACAGCTAACTAGAACTATAAAATAAACGATGAAGATAGTAATTTTTTGTTCATTAATATTGTTCTACTACAACATTCGTAATTATAGTTTACTTACTACTGCGAATAAATAGTTAAAACTTTTATTTCAACATAAGTACTGTAAACTAAAGAGTTCTTTGGTAGTTTTGGTAAGTGGACATTAGCTTAACTCGTCGAGTACCGGTTTTGTAGACACAATTATAGAACAATAGGTTGCGGTCACCGGTGACCGCTTGGTGTTTGACAGTTTAAGTTCACACGTTCGCAACACTGGATATATGTATATAGGTATATACATATATGTATGTAGTTTTATCCCCAATTTATTTCCGGGTCGTGCGGTCCATGGCCCTCTACGGCGCCCCTGTTTGGGCGCCGAACTTGTTGCGGCGTCCTACTCGGACGCTGCTCATGTCACAGAGGGTCATGGCGATCCGAATGATCCGCGGATACCGCACGATCTCCGAGGAGGCGGCGAACCTCCTTGCCGGATTACCGCCGTGGGATCTGGAGGCGAAGATGCTCGCGCGCGTGTATAACATGCGCGCGGAGGCACGTCGCCGGGGCGAAACTCCGCTGCCGCGCCAGATAAGTGCGTGGCGGGATGAGCTCCGGCGCGATCTCATGGCGGAATGGCAGCAACGACTGTCGCAACCGAGGGCTGGGCTCGCTGCCATCGCAGCGGTAAGTCCCCTCTTTGAGGAGTGGCTTGAGAGACGCTACGGCGTCCTCACCTACCGCCTGACGCAGGTCCTCACCGGACATGGAAGTTTCGGGAGGTACCTGTGTCTGATGGGGCGGGAGGAAACGCCCGGGTGTCATCACTGCGAGGACCGCCCTGAGGACACGGTGGAACACACGGTGGGAGAATGCCCTTCGTGGGCTGAGCACCGCCGTGTCCTCAGGGAAGTGATCGGCGATGGCGACCTCTCGCGTCCGGGCCTAGTGCAGGCCATGATGCGGAGCGAGGGGGATTGGGATGCCGTCTCCTCCTTTTGCGAAGCAGTCATGCTAGCTAAGGAGGAGGCGGGACGCGTGAGGCAGCGAAGCGCTGCCTCCTCGCAACCCAGCCATCGCGAAGGACACACCGGGCGTCGGGGATCGCGAGACGATCTCCGGCCACCGTAAGCGCGGGCCTGCGGACGGCGAGCATGGGTGGCTCCCCGTCCGACCAGAAACAGACCCGAGCGTACGGCGCGTCGCGTTCCGCGCGCGCCTCAAAGAGCCATCAGACCACCACAGATGGGGCCCAATAGGGCCAATGCCGATTCGGAGTCGCAGAGAACCTAACGGGTAACCGGGGCTCCGGCTCGACGTGCAGGAGAAGGAACGGAGTGGTTTTTAGTCAGTAAGAGTCTGATACTCCCTTCCGCCTCACCCAGGCGGGAGCAGTCATTCGATGATTTTCCCCCCTTAAAAAAAAAAAATCCCCAATTTATTTATTACTTTTATAGTATTGTTATTTAGTAATATCGATAATGTATCTTATGTAATTTATATTATACCTAGATATACGGATATATGTATGTATTTACAGTTATACATAGTCATAAATTTATTTATATAGATTTCTCTGTGTCACAAAAATTTTACCATTATACCTATTATTACACCTACTGTTGCACATCTCTGCATCACCCCATGGTTGACTGTTAGAGAATGCCACCCGGCATTAAGTCCGCCATCGTCTGTTTATTTATACAGAATCGTTAATAAATAAATAAATATTGTAGAACATGAAGAATATCTGTTTAATTGTGTTATTGTTTTCGGTGAGCTGCTTAAAAATGTTCGTAAAATGAATCCAGTTCGCTAAATTACTTTTTTATAATACAGGTAAGCGAGCAGCCCCAGCAGCTGCAGCAGGAACAACGAGTGAGAGCGGCGGCGGATCCGCCATGGGAGGAGTGGAGGTAGCGCTGGATCCGTCCGAGCTGGAACTGGAGCCCGAGGCAGTAGCTGCGCGGTACGAGAGACATCTGCGGGAGACACGGCCCAAGGCACACGAGGATCTCTCCGACATGTTGGCTGACCACGTCGCTAGGCAGAAGGTAGTTATATCATTTCAAAGTCAAAGCATTTATTTCAATTAAACCATAATTTGTCAATTTTGAAACGTCAACAAATACAAAATAAATAATAGTCTGTCAGTCAGTCTGTCAGTGAAGCTAGGTGAAGCTAGGTACTCATTCCAAAATGTAGATTTGAATGGAGAAGAACAAGCAAGAAACTCCATTCGTTATTTTTTTTTTTTTAAGTATGTTCTACAATATCTCTGATATATATTCCAATATTGTACATTTATGCGAGAACAATGCAAATTACAAAACTTACTAAATCAAAAAAAAACGAAACAAAAATATTAAAAAATGGTGCTTACATATGCATACTGACAATTCATATAAATAGTGCTTCTATACAAGCTATTTACTATGTACTAGCTACTTCACTCATATCCACTCTGCTGGGCGCGTATTGATAGAAGCGTAATGTTTTGTTCTTCGATAAATGAACTATCCAACACAAAAACAATTATTCAAATCGGACCAGTAGTTCTTGAGATTAGCGCGTTCAAACATACAAAGAAACTGTTCAGCTTTATATATTGTAGAGGATTGCAAAAAAAATATAGGTCTAAAAACATTAACTAAAAATCGCGGGTAACTCACGCCAACCACGCCCAGCCTACTAGTAAAAGGCTGCGCGACATCGCCGCGACCGCGCACGCTGCTCATAAAGAAGAACCCTTCTATGGTTTTAAACTAGTAGGAACCTGCGATTTTTAGTTAATTGAGTATGTCTCACGATAGTTATTATAAAAATATTAAAACATGTTATTAGTCATGTCTTTATAACAATATTGTTGAAGATAAAGCAAAGGTTATCTAATAAGATAATTCATAATATTTAGTGAAATATTTAATTGAAGACTAACTATCTATTGTGAGATCATTCATGTATCTTAATCAATAGTTAAGTAATAATTTTATTTATAATCTTATTAATTTTGTTTCAGAACAAGAGAAAGCGACAACAGAATACGGACTCCAAGCAGTCGAAGAAATACAAAGAATTCAAGTTCTAATAGTGATAATAGACATATTACATTAATTTATATTATAAGTGTATTGTATCTATGTTAGGATACTCTTGGGTGGTTTATCCAGGGCTGGTAGTCTCGACATTGATAACATCATAATTTTGTCGCTAACGGCTGAAATTAATTACCGATTTTAATTATTTAAAAAGGTTATTATTTTAGGCTGGTAGTTGTTTAAAAGTTTATCAATTTTAAACATTCGCCTTAGTTGAAAATCTAAGTGAAATTTACAAGTTAGCGACCCTCTTCTGTCGTTGTGGAGACTTCGCAAGCCTATAATATGATATAGCATTGAGGTTATCAATTCATGTGTGACAATTACAACTAATTCAATAAAGAATTACTTCAATGATCAACTGTATTTTTAATCATTTTGTGTGTACTATTTATGGTCAACGGATTTTAGACTTAAGCATATCTAATGTTTGTGTTCTCTTCTATGTGTATACGGCAACTAAGTGATGTAAAAAGGCGCCTACCCCTTCGATAAATAAAAGGCGTGTAATTCATTTTTATTATTAGAATTTTTGCAACTACGGTATACCTGAATTATTGGTAAAATTCTATCTGTAAATATTATCAATTCGAAAAAACCGTAAACTTCCAACATTAATAACGGTTTCAATCAACATTATGGTGGCTAAAAAGCCACGTTGTCGTTCATCGTTCCAACTTTGATTGACGGCCAATGACAGATTAAAAAAAAGAAGCTGGACTTCGTACTTTGTTGGAAGTCTTTCATTTGTTTTTATTAAAAATTAAATAGCTTGAGTTAGTTGTAGTTCCGTAAGTTAACAGCACAAATAACAAAATGTCTCGCGTTCTAGTTGGAGTTAAGAGAGTTATCGATTATGCGGTAAAAGTAAGTATACGCCAAGTACAAAGGTTACTTGTTGTTTGAATTTTGAAGTTCAAGGAATAAACATTAAACTAATAAGAAATAGTTACTAATACATCATTAAATTTTTATATGCATTCACGTACGTTCTGTTAAAAATATAGATTATCAGGTCATAACCTAAAATTTAATTTTTTTATGATAATTGATTATTTGTTCCTTACTTGAGATTCGTTATCACTATCAGCCTTGAACTATACGAAAAAGTTATGTATAGCGATTAGATGTACAGATATGTTACTGTGCCAATAATGGAAAATAATGAAATGGAATAATGCCAACAAGATTTACATGTTAAAGCAATGCAATAGATACAAGTGCAAAGTATTTATCATGTACCTACCTGTGGGCTGCATTTAAAATTTAAAGTAGTGTAAGCACTACTTTAGTGTAATGACTAAAGTACCTAGTGTACCTAATGGTAATAGTAAAAATACCTAATGGTATGCCTAATGACACAGTTAAGTAGAATGTTTAAAAAATATTCTTTATGTTCTTTTTTTTTTATTATAAACTAGCGACCCGCCCCGGCTTCGCATGGGTGCAATATGCATGTATTATACATACAAACCTTCCTTAAGAATCACTCTATTTATTAAAAAAAACCGCATCAAAATCCGTTGCGTAGTTTTAAAGATCTAAGCATACATAGGGACATACAGCGAAAGCGACTTTGTTTTATACTATGTATTGAAAATGCTAGTTACTACTATACTCATTCTATAATGTGTTCACTTTGAGTGTTCCAAACATTATTTTGTAGTTTTCTTTTATTTGATGCTGATAAAAGGTAGTTAGTCTACTTGACCCTCTTTAGACTTTCATTCTCTATTTTTTATTGAGTATAATTATATTTATTTGATATTCACGCATTCAACTTTGTAGGTTAATTGATAATCTCGATAAATGGACTATCTAACACAAAAGTAATTATTCAATTTGAACCAGTACTTCTTGTCTTGCCTTGTACTTTGTAGATCCGTGTAAAACCCGACAAGACTGGTGTAGTGACTGATGGGGTGAAGCACTCAATGAACCCATTCGATGAGATCGCAGTGGAAGAGGCTGTCAGGATGAAGGAGAAGAAGATCGCCAGTGAAGTCATTGCTGTCTCCTGTGGCCCTGCACAAGCTCAAGTGAGAATCTAATAAGATTTAAATGAAGTCTTAAGTATTTTAAAAGTGTATTTCTAAAGTGATAAACATCTAAACAAACAACATCCATGTTACCATGTTAAAATTTCTAGATAAGTGGATTTTAAACATATACAACATCAACATACTTGTGTCTGAAATAAAGGTGTGCATTACCCAGGCCAGATGTTGTCGAAAATAGTCATTTGAATATTATAGATAATTAGTTGTGACACTTCTGTAATTGTTTGCATGTTTTAAAATGTGTTGCACTTTAGTTTTTTAATTATTTCACAAAAACATTTCCTGCTGGGGTAACAATACCCCAGCCAGACCTTTTACTCTGTAATGGGAATATTTAAATAATTACTAGCTATAAAATTAGTTGTCCAGATGAAGTAAATGTTGTGCCTTATTTTGTATTTGTTCTGTCATCGGTTGAAAAGTTATTGGAGATTCTGCTGGGGTAACGTTTTTGGTTTTGCTAGATCTTTGAATTGGTTAAGCGGATTCTTATCTTATTTTGTACATGGCTTCTTAGGAATTAGTTTAAATTTGTTCTGCAATAAAACAGATTGGGGTGGGATTAATTTGGTTCAGTTTAACCCTACCCTATACTTATTATAATCTTTGAACCCCACTAAGACACAGGTATGCGCGTTCACTGTTAAAAGATACAACCGTTTGTCTCCTCAGTTTCAAAGTCTTCCCCTAACTGCTTCAGCCGATATTGGACTACTTTGTGTCAATATTTCAAGCGATGTCCAGTACCATCGCCATCTAGAAGACTAAATTAGCCTCGAAGAAACTTGACATAATTATAAAAAAAAACATACTTCTAAAAAATTTAATTGTAACAATACTTATAGATGAGTAATTTATTTACCTTATGAATGAAATCATATCAATGTGAAAGTAGGTATTTATTTTACCTTGCCAAGCAGTTTCATAATTTCTCCACACCTTGTTTCTAGGAAACCCTCAGGACAGCTTTAGCTATGGGTGCAGATCGTGCCATCCATGTGGAAGTAGCTGGAGCAGAGTATGAGACCCTGCAGCCCCTGCATGTCGCCAAGATCCTAGCCAAACTGTCCAAGGATGAGAAGGCTGATATTGTCATTGTTGGCAAACAGGTAAACAATACACAAAAACTACTACATGGTTTTTGCAAATGTTTTTTTCGTTACAGACATAGTTAAGACCAGAAAGGTTAAAACTTGTTGTCCAGAGATTTTCTTATGATTTGACTAGCACACACAACAATAAATACTTACCTCAATAGCGAATCCTAAAGCAAAAAATAATGACAAGAGATGTTTACTTTATTTCCAATCAATAGAAACATGAATGAAATAAACAACCTATTGTCTGAGAAATTGTTTGTAAACATTAAACAATCAACAGCAGGTTCCATTCATCTATTCCAAATCTATCATTGTGCAAAGGTACTCTCGACCAGATCACTGAAGTACTTCTTTCAATAATGTTCGCACCTATGGACAACAGCCTTTGGTCTACAAGTCCTCAAAAAGTAAAGGATATATTAATGGAAAGTATAATTAAATTAATTATAGTTTTATTTTATGGGTTTTCTTTCTCTTTTTTCCAGGCTATTGATGATGACTCAAATCAAACTGCACAAATGACTGCTGCGCTCCTGGACTGGCCTCAGGCTACCTTCGCTTCCAAGGTATGTAATAAACTACATATTTATATCGTAGTTGAAACCCCCAATACCATAAAAAGCACTCTGAAAAGGCCCTGAAAATACCCTCGGCCTCATATTGTGTCGACTACGTGTGCGTTACCCAGGCCAGATGTTGTCGAAAATGGTCATTTGAATCTTATAGATAATTAGTTGTGCGGCTTCTGTAATTGTTGCGCACATTTTTAAATTGGTTGCACATATATATTTTTAATTAATTCACAAAAACATTTCCTGCTGGGGTAACATTATCCCAGCTAGACCTTTTTCTTTCTAATGGGAATATTTAAATAATTACTAGCTATAAAATTAGTTGTCTAGATGAAGTAAATGTTGTGCCTTATTTTGTATTTGTTCTTTCATCGGTTGCGAAGTTATTATTTTTTTTTATGGCATAAGCCGGTAAACTATCAGACGGATCACCTGATGGTATGCAATCGGCGTCGCCCATGGACACCTGGAACACGCGCGTTACCGGCGTTTCGAAAATTAGGAGTTTGAGGATCGTTGGGGATTCAGGAATTGGGGAGATTGGGGAAGGGGAGGGTAATTGAGCCTCCGGTAACCTCACTCACACGACGAAAGAACGCAAGCGTTGCTTCACGTCGGTTTTCTGTGAGGCTCAAAAAAGAACTCAAACTCAAAAGCATTAAACCATAATTTGGTACTTTTGAAACACCAACAAAAATATGAAATAAATAATTCTGTCAGTCTGTCCGTCAGTGAAGCTAGTTGCTCGTTCCAAAATCTCGATTCGCGTGGAGAAGAACGAGCAAAAACCTCCATTCGTTACTCAAAAGTCTGTTTTACACTGCTTTGATACATATTCCAATATTGTACACACATGTGAGAATAATGTAAAGACATACCTTATGCATCATAACTCTCCGGTCGAGCCGGCCCATTCGTGCCGAAGCATGGCTCTCCCACACTTAAATTCGTAATTATTTTTAATTATTACGCTTTTTCGTAACCACCAAAACTTGGTCGGGTTACCATGGTCATTCACTTCCTAATGACTTTAAACGTATTAAACTGTCAAACACCAAGCGGTCACCGGTGACCGCAACCTATTGTTCTATAATTGTGTCTATAATGACGGTACTCGACGAGTTAATTATCCAATGTACCTACTGAGCTGAAATTTTACTGATATACAACTGAACTAAACAACTAATTATTGACATAACATTCAGTTCATATATCCAATCCAGTGGCCAAATAACACCGCGCGCATCAAGACCGTGCTCGTGAAAAACTCAATTCTTAGTAATATTATAAATCGGAAAGTGAGTTTGTTTGTTTATTTGTATGTTTGTTCCGCTTTCACGCCGTAACTAATTAACCGTAAAGTACGTAGAGTAAAGTTAGAAGTCCGGATTAAATAATAGGGTCCTTTTTATCCCGGAAATATTTGATATACCCGAGGGAAAACAAAAATATTGGTATAGATAGCGCTGTGTATGTGTATAGATGGCGCTGTGTGTATTTTTATAGATGGCGTTGTATGTTATTTAAAACAAGTCAACGAATTACCTATTAATTGGAAATCTCACGTTTTAATCTATAGCGCTACCTACACTTATTCGGTGCACTTTTCGGCTCATTTATTTGCTGTTTTATAAGTCAACGAATTACTAATTGGTATCTATGTAGTAGTTACACTATTTAGCGAAACGGCTGAACGAATTTTGAAGAAATTTGGTGTGAAGGTACTTTCAAGTCCTGGAAAAGCAAGGCTTTACCGCGGCAGAACTTCTCATTCTCGTGGAAAAACCTAAAAAGCGCGATATAACCGAATTATTCGCGAGCGGAAAGCTATTTGTTTGTTTGCCTGTCTTAAGACAAAAACGGAGGTACTAATTAACGAGATTTTTTAACTGAAGGTAGTTAGTTGAAGGGACGGATAGTCACATAGGCCACTTTTTATACGTTTGTGACGCGAGCGAAACCGCGGGTAAAAGCTAGTATCATCATAACTTGTTAAATACTTACTAAGGATACTAATGAAACTTCACATACAGTTGAAGGCACTTACAAGCTTTAAAAAAACCTTTAAAGTAAGTCTTTAGAGTTCTTATTGAGAGTGCTGGGACCAATTGAAGTGGTTTTCTATTTTAAAAAAAAATAACCTTTGAGCTATGTATTATTTTGGTTGTTTTATTGCAGAACAAATTTAAACTAATTCCTAAGAAGCCATGTACAAAATATGATAAGAATCAGCTTAACCCTTTCAAAGATCTAGCGAAAACGTTACCCCAAAAGAACCTCGAATAACTTCGCAACCGATGAAAGAACTAATACAAAATAAGGCACAACATTTACGTCATCTAGACAACTAATTTTATAACTAGTAATTATTTAAATATTCCCATTAGAAAGAAAAAAGTTTTGGCTGGGGTAACGTTACCCCAGCAGGAAATGTTTTTGTGAAGTAATTAAAAAACTATAAGCGCAACAAATTTAAAAATGTGCGCAACAATTACAGAAGCCGAAAAACTAATCAATACATAGTATAAAACAAAGTCGCTTTCGCTGTATGTCCGTATGTATGCTTAGATCTTTAAAACTTCGCAACGGATTTTGATGCGGTTTTTTTTACTAGATAGAGTGATTCTTAAGGAAGGTTTGTATGTATAATACATGCATATTGCACCCGTGCGAAGCCGGGGCGGGTCGCTAGTTATCTATAAGATTCAAATGACCATTTTCGACAACATCTGGCCAGGGTAACGCACACGTAGATTACGGTGCCTTAGTGTGACGTAAGCGGGTAAATCATAAAACTTTAAATTGAACAGTGCAGTTTGATAAATAAAGAGGTAACTGAAAGTAGTATACCAGAATCATGCCATTATTGTTCCAGTGTCTGCTTACAATAAAATCAGGCAGCCCGAACAAAAAGAATTACTAAAAATATAATATATTTCTAGCTTTACAGTTACTTATTATATATCTGTTGTGTATCTGTAGTATACTCTATGGTCATAGTATAGTCTATAACATACTTAACAATATCTACATTATCCAGGTTGAAAAGTCAGGCGATGGTCTGACGGTGACCCGTGAGATCGACGGTGGTCTGGAGGTAATCAAGACGAAACTGCCCGCCGTTGTCAGCGCTGACCTGCGTCTCAACGAACCCAGATATGCCACCTTACCTAATATCATGGTATGTGAGAATTTAATACCTACATTCTATTGCTACTTTTGATTATTCCTTATATCTGATTTAAGTACAATCGTAATAACAGGTTCAACATTTTTCTAGACAGTTCTATTAAACCTCTAAGAATACCTAAATCATTTCGTACGTACGTAACTTCTACATACATAATGAATGAGGCAGTAATATAATTATGTGGTAAGTTTAATGTAAAGGGCGTAGCAAAACCCCGTTTCCAAAAGTCACTTTGTTTTTATTTTTATTCCTTTAATTTATGTATGTCTTTTCACACCGCCGTTAAACCTTTTCGTAAATTCAATAACTAATTTCGATTTTATTTTACAGAAAGCCAAAAAGAAGCCCCTAAAGAAGGTGTCAGTCAAGGACTTGGGAGTGGACATTGCTCCTAGGATCAAGGTCTTGTCCGTGGAAGATCCTCCAGTCAGACAGGCTGGCTCCATTGTCCCCGACGTGGACACTCTCGTCGCCAAGCTCAAGGAAGGAGGTCACGTCTGAACCTTTGTAAATAGCCAAGAATGTGTGTTCATCAATCAAAATAATTATAATATTTATACTGAGATTTTGTATGAACGTCAATTGTAGATTACACTGTATAAATTGTTAAAAATATAATACACTTTTAAACTGTTTGTCCTTTGTTTTTATTCCTTTACTAGCTATTGCCTGCGACATAGAATATGAGTTTTAGAACATAACTCTTTTTTGTTTAAATTTTCCAAAATAAAAGTATGTCTATGTTACTCTTTAGTACATCAACTACCTACCAGTAAAAGTCCCGTCGAAAACGGTCCATAAATTTCAGAGATTAGCCAGTACAGACAGAAAAAATGTTGTGCGTTACCCAGGGCAGATGTTGTCGAAAATGGTCATTTGAATCATATAGATAATTAGTTTTGCGGCTTCTTTAATCTTTGCGCACATTTTTAAATTTGTCGCGCTTATTGTTTTTTAATTACTTCACAAAAACATTTCCTGCTGGGGTAACGTTACCCCAGCCAAACCTTTTTCTTTCTAATAGGAATATTTTAATAATTACTAGCTATAAAATTAGTTGTCTAGATGAAGTAAATGTTGTGCCTTATTTTGTATTTGTTCTTTCATCGGTTGCGAAGTTATTCGAGATTTTGCTGGGGTAACGTTTTTGGTTTTGCTAGATCTTTGAAATGGTTAAGTAGATTCTTATCATATTTTGCACATGGCTTCTTAGGAATTAGTTTAAATTTGTTTTGCAATAAAATAACCCAAATAATACTGACAAAAGCTTTACTAGGCTGCGCGACATCGCCGCGACCGCGCACGCTGCTCATGAGGAAGAACCCCTTTGTGGTTCGAAACTAGTAGAGTTTTTCGTTCATTGTGGCATTCATTGTTATGCGGATGATAGCACAGGCGATGCCTACTACACCGGCCGTGCTAACATCTCTCGGGAAAACGTCATAGAGAGCCGAAACAGACTCGTGTCTGAAATCGAGACCTCTTTAAAGAGAATATCTGATTGGGATGGACTTAATTTACTCCAGTTTAACCCCACTAAGACAAAGGTCTGCGTGTTTACCGAAACTGCCGTTGGTCGTATCTCCTCAGTTTCAAAGCACCCCTCTAACTGCCTCAGCCGGTATTGGAATAATTGTTGTCAGCATTTCGAGCGACGTCCAATTTTGCGGTCATCTAGAGGATAAGGCCAAATTAGCCTCAAGGAAGCTTGTTGTGCTCAATAGATCGAGGCAGTATTTCACCCCGGCCCACCGCCTGCTTCTATATAAGGCGCAAGTTTGGCCTCATATGGAATACTGTTCTAATCTTTGAACGGGGCACCCCAGTACCAGCTTCTTCCTCTGGACCGCGTTCAGCGGCGAGCCGTTCGGATTGTTGGATGTCTGGATGTTTCAAACCGGCTGGACACTTTGGCAATGCGTAGAGATGTAGCTTCATTGTGCATTTTATATCGCTTATACCACGAGTGCTCTGAGGAATTGTTTGACCTGATACTTGCCGCATCTCCTGACCTGACCCTCACGAAAGCATATGCATCCCCATCATATAGATGGTTGGCAGGCCTCAACTGTGCACTTCTTACGTAGCTTCCTACCTCGCACAGCAAAACTGTGGAATGATCTGTCGTCGGCGGTATTTCCGAACCGATACGACCTTTAAACCACCAAGAAAAGAGCGTAATCCTTTTTGAAAGGCCCGCAACGCACCTGTAACTCCTCTGATGTTACGGGTGTCCATGGGCATGGCATGGCATGGTGCTCCTAACAGTAGTAGTCATTATTTCGCAACACTTAGATAAAAATATTCAAGCGGATGTAATTTATTTTGATTTCAAAAAGGCCTTTGGCCGTGTGGATAACGATACTATATTACTTGGTAAACTCAATGATATAGGTTTCTCATCGCAATTACTTAAACTTTTCTCAAATTACCTCCGTGATCGTCAACAATATGTAAGACATGGTTGTTTTGTTTCTCCACCTTATCACACTCGCTCCGGTGCTAGTCAGGGTTCGGTATTGGGCCCTTTGCTGTTTGGATTGATGGTGAACGACCTAGAATCTTGTCCCAGCATGCGAGGTGTTTATTGTATGCTGATGATCTTAAACTTATTTATGGGGTGAAAAATTTAGCAGACGCATATACCTTACAAAGTGATAATTATGCTTTGTACCAGTGGAGCAATGAAAATAAACTCCATTTTAATACAGCCAATTATAATGTAATGTCCTTTAGTCAAGCACATAATTCTTTGCATGTGAAATGCTTTTTGTGGTCAGAGCTCATAAATCAAGTCCGCACCGTAAAGGACTTCGGTGTAGTCTTCGAACCTCGACTAAACTTTCACGAACATATGTGTGCGGGCTGGGAGGGATCAGGCTGTGGATCAGTCCTCGACGAGCTAGGTCCTTGTGGAGAGCAAGTGGACTGTAGAATGAAACTGGAGAACTCTCGTACACATATACTTTTATTACGATAATGTTAACAACACTAGTGGAGATTCACAATATTAGGTCGACTGGCTATGATCGACTTTATAGGTACATATAACGACTACATACACTGACAATACATTGACACACTGACTGTGTGATTTATCATTGACAACTAAGTGCGCCTCGCAAGGAGGCGTCCTTTTATTGGCGAGTCGCGCGCGGACAGGATTAATCCTGTCGCTATGGGCTCGCGACTCGGCCGCTCTGCGACGAAATCATGTTTGTACTTACATGCTCAAAGGCAAGTTCAAACCAAGCAGCGGCGGCGCGGAACAAAGGATCGCCGCCGCGCTCCTTTGATTTTCATGTCTGAACTTGCCTTTTTGATATGGTTCGGACAAGTTTGGAACACGTGGCGGGCGGCTCGCGGCCTAGCATTGCCGTCGTGCACAGTATGAGTTTACTTACAATTGACTCTTATCACAGATTAGGTTTCGTTATCCGCAATATGCGTGAATTTGATAATCCTAAAGCTATCAAACTTGTGTACTTGGCCCTAGTTCGTACTAAACTGGAGACAGCATCTATTATGTGGAATCCTCATGAGAGTACTTATGCTTTATTGCTGGAGAAAGTGCAAAAAGCATTTCTTAGATTTCTGTACAAAAGGCTATTAGGGTACTTACTATCCTTTCTTATATCCCACCAAGTTTTTACTGGGCATGTTAAATTTTAACTCTTTGGTAGTGAGGCGAAATTATTCTCTTATTATTTCTACCTGTAGTACTCTGCGAGGACAATCTGACTGTCCGGAGCTGGTGGGACAGGTGGTACGGTTGTTTGTGCCCCCAGTTCTGAAGCATCAGCTTAGGCCACGTAGGCACCCCTGACTGGCTGTCCCAGTAACGCAGTCGCTCATGCAAATTCTCCGCTTGTTCGAGATGATCAATGCTTTCCTGGCATCCGCACCAGTGTGATTTATTTGCAGCGAGATGGAATGATGTATGTCGTGTATGTGTAAGATTTTGTGAGAAGATGGACGGCTGATGAATTAGTTTTAAGTAATTATAATGATTGTACTTTTTATATAAGATACCTATTACATACATGTAAAATAGTAAATAAGTACCTAAAATTTTTTTATTGTCTAATGTTTTGGCTTGTGCTTTAAAATTATACATGTGCTTATAAATAAATAAATGGGCGGCGCTGATTGCTTACCATCAGGTGATCCGTCTGCTCGTTTGCCTCCTATTCCATAAAAAAATAGTGTTTGATCTTCACATACTTATTTGTAGAAGATTTATTTAAAAACCTGAATGAGTAGCAAATAATAACCAATCAATTATAATGTCACTTTTATGATATGTATCACATTTTTAACTGGCAACTAGTAGTCTATTGACAAATCAAACTCAGACATTCGGTAAATTATAAGTTTTATTAAGTAATAGCTGCATTATCTCAACCTGGCGGGCGTTCTAACCGTCCAAGAATATTTTAGAACATTTACTACATATATATCAAATGTATGACTATACAAGGGTTGTTTATAAATATCATCTAAAAACTACAATAGATCATTGCCAGTTGTCGCCTCACGCCCGTGCTTGCCAGCGCGTAACAAACATCCCGACTACATACACTTATATTCAGCCTTATATATAAATTCCTCATAATAAAATGTGACTATTGTAACTGCAGAATTTAGGAAAGTGCTAAACTCTACTGATTACAGACATCCAAATGCAAAAATGGCAAAGTTTTCATACTGATTCTACTTAAGAGAAAATGATCTAAAATAATTATCTGTAACTTAAGTATCAAGCCTTCTACTTAACTGATATTGACTGCTTAAATTACTATATTTGTTAGATTGGATGCTAATGTCAAATATTATCATGATTGATTGATCAGTAACTATGTCAGTCACAGTTTAAGTATGTCAGACTGACAGAAAAGTCAGGCAGTATGGAAGCTGAGCTGCTGAGGCAGTTATAAAATGTCAAAATTGTGATAAGTACAGAATGATCCATACAGTATGTGTATTAGAATTCTCCACTGAAGGGTTGGTACCACACTATCTTGCCTTCGAGACAGCCCGTGACGAGCATGTGGTAGCGCGGTGAGAACTTGGTGCTGACGACGAGGTCTTGGTGAATGCCGAGGCTCTGGCCTATCTCGGTTAGCTGCGTGGGCGCGGTCACACTCTGCACCGTGTACGGGAGCTCCGAGCAGTCCTCGTTGAGGGCGAGGAGTCTCATCCCCCGCCCAAATGGAGAACACACGATGCGGCCGTCAGATGAGAAACATAGTTCCTGTAATACATTTTTTTTTTCGTTTTACATTTGTTTTCCAAATTATAGTTGCGTTTTTTATTGTTTGGTATACCTATTCATGAAATTTATAAACAAGACAGCAACAATAAATTTCATTTTATTGTAAAGCTTATCATGTGATAATTTCAGGCCATTATTCATAAAGTAAAACACTCCTTATATTTCCTATTCATGTGATAATATTTTCAAGCTTAGAAGAACTTACCTTTATAAAACCTCTTCCTTCATTAGTCTCCTCTTTGAAATATAGTAGCCGTTCTTTGTTTTGTCGGATGAAATTTTTGCTATGATCGTCGCTAGGTTCAGGGTCGTGCGGTGGTGTCTGCCCAGACGTTGACGGCGTTATACTTCTGAAAATAT